AGAATCATTATGTTTGAGGCCATTCTTGTAGCTCTTGTGTCAATCCATTTTATTTTGTCTTCCTCTTTTTCACTCACCCTCTACCAAGATGTTGTATTTCTCCAGGGACTGGTCCTTCCGGATCTACTATTCAAAGTAGGTAAGACGTTTTGCCATTATCCCTTCTCTGACAGTCCGAGGCACTTTCAATAGTCTTCACCAACACCGTAATTCAAAGGCGCCAATTTTTCTCCTGTCCTCCTTATTCACGGTCCATCATTCACAGGTATTGAAGATGATGGAAAATAGCACAGCTCGGGCTAGGATCACATTAATCCTCAAAGTGAGATCGTTGCTCTTTAATAGTGTTGCAGCAGATTTCCTCAGTGCAATACTTCATTTGAGAGGATGCTCTTTTCACTGGCGTTGATTATCTAATTCAAGTAATAACGAAGTTTTTGACAACTTCAATCTTTTCCGCATTTATCGTGATATAGTTTACTGGTCCCGTTGTGAGGATTTCTGTTTTCCTTATATTGAGTTGTTATCCACACTGAAGGTTACAGTCTTTGATCTTCATCAGTAAGTGCTTCAAGTTCTTTGCATTTTAAGCAAGCAAGGTTGGGCTATCTGCAAAATTGCAGGCTGCTAATGAGTCTTCCTCCAATCCTGATGTGACGTTCTTCCTCATGTAGCCCAGTTTCTCAGATTACTTGTTCAGCATAAACATTAAACATGTATGGTAAAAGGAAACAACTCTGATGCACACAGTTCCTGAATTTAACCACACATTATCCTTTTGCTTTGTTTGAACCATTACCTCTTGGTTTGTATACAAGTTTCACATGAACACAATTAATGTTCTGGATTTAACATTCTTCTCAGTATTATCCATAGTTTGTTATGATCCATACAGTCAAATGCCTTTGCATGGTTGACAAAGCACAAGTAAACATTTTTTTAGTACTCTCTGCTTTCAGCCCTAATCCATCTGACAACAGCAATGACGTCCTTCATTTCACATCATCTTCCGAGTCCAGCTTGGATTTCTGGCAGTTTCCTGCTGATAAACTGCTGCAACTATTTTAAAATGTAAACAAAAACTTTTTATTGTGAATTGAATTAAGGTTTACAGGTTTTAAACTCAACAAATCATGTATGTTTCATTACAATGATTGCATGTACCGTCAGTTAACAGTATTTACCTCTATTCACTTTAACTTTTGCATTCCTATGTGTCTTCTGCTACCTTCATCTTTTCCTCTGCCAGTCTGCCTCTTGTATATTGTCTTTTCCATTACACATGTTAATATGTGTCTACGTGGCGCTGTGGGCTAATGCGTCAGACTTCAAAGTCGTTTGAACTGCAAAGTCAATGGTTCAAGCTCACCAGCTGCTCCTTGGAAACCCTATACAGGGTCGCTATGGGGTCAGAATCGACTCAACGGCACTTAACAACAACAACAACCTTCTAGTATTGTTGTTAAGTGCTGTTGAGTTGATTCCGATTTACAGCAACCCTGTATAGACTTTCCTAGGCTGTATATCTTTGCAGAAAGCCTCATCTTGCTCCCATGAAGTGGCTGTGGGCCTCAAGCCACTGACCTTGTGGTTTGCAATCCAGTAATTATGGGTCAGAATCGACTCGACAGCACTTAACAACAACAACAATTACCCTACAGAGTCACAGCACTCCTGTCTAACCCCTGAATAATTGTCCCTCCCAGCCCACCTCTGGTATAGAATGCTTTTTTTCCTTAGTTTTTAACAATAGTATTATATAATATTTGTCCCTTTGTGACTAATTTCACGCAGTTTAATGCCTCCCAGGTTCATTCATGTTTTGAGATGTTTTGTAGATTCATCATTATTCTTCAGTGTTGGGTAGTATTCCACTGTGTGTATGTACCAAAGTTTGTTTAGTCATCTTTTTAGTGTCTCTTGTAGACTGTATATTGAAGGATCCGATTTTCTTACACATTCCGTCTCTTGACTTATACTCTCTGTCTCTTGACTGGTGCATATATTACATTTATGTTCAACGTAATTATTGATAGGTATTAGTTGATTGCTATAATTTTGCTTGGAGTTCTGGTATACCAATAGCACTTTGGGATAATGCGCTGGATTGCAGTCGGTTTGAACCACAAGGTCGGCAGTTCAAGTTCACCAGCTGCTTCTTGGAAACCTTATACAGGGTTGCTATTGGTTGGAACGGGCTTGACAGCACTTAACTACAACAACATCATTTTGCTGTTTTTTTTTTGTTGTTTGTTTTTGTTTTTTTTGTGTGTGTGTATGTGGTTCTGAACATTTCTTTGTTCCACGTAATTTTCTGTGCTGAGTTCATTTTGTTTATGGCATCTAACAACAACAACATAGGCTTAGATGTTGTCTGTATTCAGGGCACTCAATCTGGAAGCAGTTCGTGGAGGCCCTTAATGTCGTTGGATTCAGGGCATGGTGGGGCTACAGGGTAGCTGGGGGCAGGGTGGCTGGTTATGAGGGTTTCTGCCAGCCTGATGTCCCTACATGATGTGTAGTTCTGGAGCTGAGCCCACCTAAATTCAGGCATCAAGGTGGCACAGCTGATACTCATACTGATGCAGCACATACCTGAATTCAGGCATCAAGGTGGCACAGCTGATACTTATACTGATGCTAATTGACGCAGCACATATCCCAGCGTCTCTGAACTCAAACTCCCAGAGAGAGAGCAGGGTCTGCATGCCGGTGACTGAAGGTGGGGGCCGACCACACCTCTGGTTACCAGAGGAGCACTGGGAAAAAGAAAGAATCACACCTTTCTCATCTCTGTGGATCACCTCTGCCAGACCACCTGCTTTCCCCCAAGCTGCTCGGGAAAAGCTCAAGATGGCTGGTGGCCAGTTCAGCAGTCCGTCTCCTTTGGCCTCCTCTACTCAGCTTCTCCTCCCAGTAAGTAGTCAATCCACTTCTCTAACCTTTCTTCTGAAGCTCAAGGTCCCAGGATTGTCCTGTATGTCTGTTTCATTTGGTCTCCCATATCTTTGTTGTATAGAGTCTGTGTAGCATGTTTGCCTAGTTCACCATGTTGCTGGAGCTCTGCAACCAATTTTGAGTTATCGTCAGTGGAATTTTATATGCATGTGATATTAATGATATTGTTCAACAATTTCTGCATTTTGTAGTGTCACCTGTCTTTGGAATGGGCACAAATATAGGTCTTTTCCTGTCAATTAACCAGGTACCTATTTCCCAAATTTCTTTAAATAGACTAATGAGTGCTTCCAGTGCTGTAAGTTTGAGGAAACATTCCCACCATTATTCTGTCATTTCCTAGTGTCACAGAGTCATGTTTATTTATGCCAGTGCCTCAGTGCAGCTTGAACTTGTTCTTTCTATACCATTGGTTTGGTTCTTTTTTTTTTTTTTAAGCAGGGATTTTTTTTTTTTTAATGCAGACACTTATTTTTTTAAAAAGCCTGACTGGGTCATGAACACTACTGACAAGACACAGGGAATGTTCCTCCATTCAACTTCATGAATACTATACTTTTTTTAAAAAAAAAAAAGATTCTGGTAATATAAGGGAAACCTTATGAATTCAATAAGGGCCTTTATGCTACATTTTGGCTCTTCTATGTATCAAGAGTAGTCTTTTTAAAATATAGAGCATATACCATCGGTTTGTGATCATATGCTACCTCCCGAAATGGTTGAATGTTGTTAAATTCTTTTTGGTACAGTGTACTCCTTCTATCTTCTTTTATATTTTCATCATCATTCAACGTTTTGCCCATGTTGTTGCTGTTAAGTGTTTTCAAGTCGGTTCTGACTCATAGCTTTAAATATTTGCAGGGGCAGAAAGACCCTAATATTTCAGGTTGAGGCTGGAGTGTGCTTTTTAGTTCTTTCAGCCTGAGAAATGCTTAGTGTGGTCTTCCTTTTGGTTTTCTCACTCCAAGCCTTTGCACATTTCATTATAATATAAACTGTACTTCCTTTATTTTTATTTCCTATTGAACTGTTTGTCCTACAAAATAGGTTGCAGCCATAATCCTTGTATGTGTGAACATGACCTTGTTTAGAAATAGGATATTTGAAGATGTTATCAGTTATATTAACATGATGTCAGACTAAAATAGAATGGGTTTTAACCCCATCAGAGTTGTGTCCTTTAAAAAAAGAAGAGCCTTGAAATCTTCTCAAAACTAAAAAAATTAAATAGAACAATTTAAAAAATTAAGTAATCAGAAATAAGTTAATTCAGATAGATGTATTCAGAAACAGATGCTGAAGTTAAAGCGTGTGACTTAAAAGTCAATACAGCGTCCTTTTCTTTCCCAATCGCCATATCGGGTAGGTTCTGGGCCTCTGGGTCCACCCTTTTCTTTGGTAACAGGATTAACACCATCTGGAAATTTTTCTAAGGGCTCTTTCTCTAAATGAGAATCCTCAGGTGCATCAAAACGACCTTCAGGTAACTTTGGCTTCTTCAGGGATTGTTTGGTGTGTTCAGACTTCTGATATCCACCTTGGCTTTTTCTTTCCTTCCTGTCTTTTAAATGACCTATTGGTTTCTTCACGTATGACATTTTTTATGTCATCCCACATCTCATTGGTCATTAGTATTCAATGCATCAAAGTAGTTCTTGAGATGGTCTCAAAATTCAGTTGGGATATACTCAAGATCATATTTGGATCTTATGGACTTGTTTTAGTTTTCTTCAACTTCAACCTGAACTTGCGTATGAGAAATTGATGGTCCGCCCTTGCTTTGGCTGATACTGAATTTCTCCATCTCTCGTCCCAGAAATATAGTCAGTTTGACTCTTGTGTATTCCATCTGGTAAGGGTCACAGTATAATTACCATTAATGTTGTTGAAAAAAGGTATTTTCAGTGAAGAAGTGGTGGGTCTTGCAAAATTTTACCATGTGATTTCCAGCGCCATTTCAAAGACCATGTTTTCCAATTACTGATCCCTTCTATTTCAAGTCACCAGTTGTTATCAATGCATCTTGATTGATTGCTTGATCAGTTTCAGGCTGAAGCAGTTGGTAGACTTCTTCTGTTTCTTTGTCTTTGGCTTCAGTGGTTGATGTAAATTTGATTAATATCTATATTAACTGGTCTTCCTAATGAATAGAAAAATAAAATGTATGTTCATACAGTGGAGTATTTAGCCCCCAAAAGGAATGAACTACTGACATATGCTATAATATGGAGAAATCCTGAAAATAACAAGTGAAGTAAGCTAGACACACATATTATATGATTCCATTTATATGAAACGTCCCTAATCAGCAAATCTATAGAGACAGAAAGTAGACTACTGGTTGCCAGGGTTGGAGGGGGTGACAGGAAATTACAGGTTGAATATTAAAGAGTACAGTTTTCTTTTTAGAGAAATGAAATGTTTTTAAATTGATTGTGACACAACTCTGAATATGAGGGTAAGTTTTGCTACAAAAATCATAGAAATCTTCATTAAACAAAAATACCAAAATGTGAAGCTATTGTTTCTCAACAGCTCCTCCATCTAGGCCTATACACTTCTAAAGGCAGTGTTTCCATCTTTCTAACCTCTCCCTAAAGAATTCCATGCTCTTAGATTTACATCAATATCAAATTGGCAGTCTAGGTACCCTGTTATTGTCAGGTGTCGTCGAGTCACTTCTGACTCAAAGCAAACCTATGTACAAAAAAACAAAACACTGCCTGACCCTGCACCATCCTTACAGTTGTTACTCTTGAGTCATTTCTGACTCAAAGCAAACCTATGTACAAAAAAACAAAACACTGCCTGACCCTGCGTCATCCTTACAGTTGTTACTCTTGAGTCATTGTTGCTGCCACTGGATCAATCCATCGCAATGGGGGTCTTCCTTATATTTGATAACTGTCCATTTTACCAAGCATGATGTCCTGGTCCAGGGGCCAGTCCTTCCTGATAGCATGTCTAAAGTATGAGCGATCCTGGCTTTCAGGGAGCATTCAGGCCGTACTCTTTTGGCACTGTGTAGCTCTGCAGGAAATTGCGTTGGACCATAATGTCGATTTGAACCACAAGGTCAACAGTTCATACTCATCAGCTGCTCCTAGAAACCCTTTACAGGGTCGCTGACTTGAAACCGATTTGACAGCACTTAACAATAGGGACTCAGATCGTGTTCCTTTCAGATATTTTTTGAGTTTGGAAACAAAAAGAAATCTGTAGGGACACGATCAGGACTGTAGGGTGAAGTGGGTAAAGGTTTCCCAATGAAATTCT